CCTCCACTGAAAATGGTGCCGGGAACCCTTCCCCCCCCCCGCAACCTGATGCGCGCGATTTTGGCGTGGGAAGAAGGAAAGAGGGCGGTATTTATCTTGTAATGTACCCGAAGATGTATCCAACACGCCGCCAGGGTCGGCATACTATACCGCGTTTCGTATTGCGATTCTTTGGGCGGGTCGATATTCGGGGTCTGGGTGGCGAATTCTATAATATATTTCACGATATGAAGTGTAAAATGATATATATTTGGTCGGGTTGGATGGGATACGAGGGGTGACGTGAGATATTATATTTAAGGAGCTTTACGATACGAGATTCGACGTCTGATATTTTAAAATTTCGTTTCTAATTTTAAAATTAGAATTTCTCTTAAATTTAGATATTACTCGGTTTTATTTTTTTTGAAATTGCAAATTAGATATTGATATTAGAATTACAAGATTTTGATGGCCAAATATAAACAGTAGCAAGAATAATTAGAATATATTATCGAAAGCATTCCTAGAAAAATTTGGGCAAAATATATTAATTTCTTATTTTAGTTGATCAATATTCTTAAACGCCCGTGGAAAGCATTCCAAAAGCTGCCTCTTGATTTAATCTAGCTCACAAGCGACCGTCGCACTGAAATATATGCTAAGATATATAATTGGATTTTTACCTTCAAAATATTTCGTTAGAGGTATGATCTATAAGAAGTCATGACTAAGTTGCGCAAGCCTTTAAGAGGTCAAAGAGAAACAAACCTGAATACTTTTCGGAACGCTTTTTTTTTGGGGGGGGGGCGGTGCCGGAACACTTTTCCTTGAACTCTTTTTGGAATACTTTGCCGGGCGGAGAAATGACTCTCTTCCAATATAAACCTCGCTCAAAAAGCGTTCCGAAAAATATTCCGCCCGTCCTCAAACCTCATTCCCGACCCTGGCCCCCCCATCCCCTGTGGCCCTTGCTCTCTAGTCTTCTGTCCTTCGTGCGGGTCGCCTGGCGGTATCCCAGGTAATTAGGTGGCTTTGGTAATTATGACAACCCACAAGCAGTAGCAAATCAAAACAAATCAAAGACGTCTTTCGGGGACGCGGCAGCTGGCCGGCCAACGATCTCTGCCAAACATGCAAACACTCGCAGGGATCTTACGCGAGCGCACACCAACAGGATGCTCGTTGCCTGACATGAACAGGGTGCAAGAAGCAACAGCCACTCCGCTGTTAGCAGGGTCCTCTACGTACGTAGGTTTTGACGAGTGTCTTCTGTATCCGCGTGCACGTGCGGGCAGTCTCTGGGCCAGGGTTCTTGAGGAATTCCTACAAGGTCTGGTTTGGAATGCTATTCAGAATACTCCTGTATTTCAGAATACTGTTCCCCACACTTTTCGGAATACTTTCAGAATATTTTTCGGAATACGATCAATCCAAAACACGATTTGAGGCCTTTGGCTTCTGTGAGAACTTATAATACTAGAGGCGAAACAGAAGATGCTTGCAGTAGCGCGGAATTGGGACTCGGCTGATTCATTGAGGCTCTTTGGTTTCTTTCCTGCGCTTCAAGTGAATCGTGGAGATTCCCTGGAGTGCAAGCTGGTCATCAACAGGCCCGGCAGATCGTCGTAGTTTTTTTGCGCAAACTGTCTCCGACTGTGATATCTTGTCCAGGCAAAAGAAGAACCATCGGCTGCTACAGTTGGATGCATGCTTTTCGGTGGTTGGCCTGCTGCTGAGTCGACCCCACGTCCTCGGAAGTGTTTCAGACATATCTTTCAGAGTTTGTCTATCATGCTGGCGCGCACCAAGGACCAGGCGACACACAGATACGCGAAAAACGCGAGGTCTGGCTTAGTTGGCTTAGTTATAGTTGCATACCAACACTGTTCGGCACGCAAGCGTCTTTCAGCATACCGGCGCAGGACTCGTGGAACCTGGACTGATCTCCTTTTGCATGTTGTTATGAACCTTTGGTGCTTCTTTGCCGAAAGCGTGCAGAAAAGGCAACTCTCCACATAACTGCTTCTGCTAGGAGGGTGTGCATGCTGGTTGCATTTGCACGTGGCTTCAAGTGTCTCCGCGAAACACCTGGCGGGCGGCGAACATGGCAAGTGCTGAGAATACCGGCGCCAACCTGTGCTTGCTTGCGTGAACTCCTGAGTTAGGTGAATCTGTCTCTCCCACTCACAAAAGCAAAGGCGAACAAATCTGGCCACACGAAGCACAGCCTAGATCTTGCAGGTGTTGTCTTGGAAGCTTCGACTTGGCCCGAGGTTTCCTATTGGCATGGCACCTTTGCAGGTTGATTTCCTTCCTATCCACGCTGGTCCATTCATTGAGTGCGATACGAGGGCTTTCCATCGACGAACACAGGCTCAAGTTCTCATGCGAGCATTTAGCGAGCCCAGTCTTGCTCGGCGTGCTGCTTCACATTCTGCAAAAACGAACTCTGCTCTGTAGTCTCTCTGCACTGGAGCCATCAGTTACGTCAGAGTTGGAGCAGACCATCCTTTCGCATGCCGTGGGCGCAAAAAAAACCCTAGGACCCTAGGAGCCCCTTCCCAGAATTCTGCGTCAGCTATGGAGCTTGATGAATCCGTGGCAGCAGAGTGCAAGCTGTTTCTGCTCCGGTCCATGGACGGATGGCACGCAGGGGAGCTGAGGGGCATCTGCCTGTTCAGGATGACGTTCAGGCTTTCTGAGATCGTCCCGAATGCCGGCTGCAACTGTTCTTGAGGTTTTGGGGATCCTCTTCACTTCTCGAGTGCTCGTTGAATTCGGACTCTAATTTCTGACCCCGAACAGCTCGATAGGATTTTTTTCGGGATATTCCGGTTTCATGTTGTTGTTGTAGTTGATGCATGTCCCTCCCGACGAGCACAACCTCCTCTCACGAACGCAGTCCCTCGAAAAGCGAGACTTCTGTTGCACTCTTCCGGCTGTCTGTAATCGGAGAATCTGTGTTAGCAATGGCATCGGCATCCAAATACTTACTAATCACAAGCTTGGCTGGCAGTTGTCGGCGGCAAGCTGAGTGTCAAGTGGCCCACGTCCAATAGACCAAATATGCTGCTGGAAACCAGCCAGGAGTTTAAAATTTAAGGGGGAGGGCACATGAGAGCCCAAACGGCAGGCCCAGGCCACTTTGGGCCATGCCCGCAAGCGAGCGCAAGATGTGCGACAGAATTCGAGGAAGTTTCTTGGTGCGAAGTCCTGCGCACTTCTGATTTGCTTATGGGTTTTCCTTGTGTGGAAGCTCTTTGGCCCAGGTTTTGGTTGCAGCAGCAGCTTCGAAGCCTGCGCAGCGCAGGCGAACAGAAAGGTACGCACAACGGCTGCAGAGAAGCCATGGTTTGTGGGCCAGAGGTCGCACAGCCGCTGGACGCCTTCGAATCGCGCGTATATTGGCGGAGTTGCAACAGAAAGGCTTATTGGTATCAGCACAGGCCGGTGCCGGAGCGGTTTACGGCAGGATGGAGACATGACCACCGCCGGAGTACCCAAAGAAACGGCTCGCCCCAGGATTCCTCCGCTGCCATCCAAGCTCTTGGCAGCGCGGGCTGGTGGCAGGAAGCTTTGGCACTCTTTGAAGTGGCACTCAGACTCAACTCTCGAGGCAGGGATTTTGACACATCACAGCTCTAGATGCACGCAGCTTAGCCCTCAAACTTGCAACGTCGAGGTGCCGGCACCGGAGGCACCACACCTCCAATGGTTGATGTCCGGATGAAACTCGGACTGCCGCAGTTGCCGTGCTTAGGGCCGGGAGCTAGATGTTCATGATCTGACGAGGTATAATGCTGCTATTGCAGCATTGCGATCCTCTCCTTTCCGCTGGCAGCAAGCCTTTGCACTGGTGCATGCGATGTCAGTCTCACAACTTCAGCCCGACATCGCCACGATGAACTCTGCAGCAACGGCCTTGAAGGGCGAAGAACCCAGTTCTGATGGGCTCAGTTCCAGACCGAACTCGTGAGTCCATGCAGCTCAAGATCAGTTTTCCGCTGAGCACGTGCCTTGAGGCGAGCTGCTCTGGAAGCAGACGCTGTCTGCATATGCTGCCGCCACTAATCAGGGGGTGTGCATGGACAAGGAGCGATCTGACTGGCAGTTGCCTGGGTTGAGCTGAAAACGTTGAAACGCTTCAAGCAGGTGGGCACCAACATCTTGATGGCTGCAATGGTGGCAGTCGATTGTCGCTGGTCATTGTCCCTCTGCCAAGACTTGAACAAAAAGTTGAAGTTGCATTGCACCAGTACCAACACATGGCAACCTCGCCTGCATGCTCCTACTTGCATGTCCTGGGTCGCCAGGGGGATGGAGTCACTCCGATTCGCCTTGCTCCAACAGCTGCAGCCCGACGTGTGCTCTCTGGGCTGTGTATTGGGCTGCATGGTTGCAAAACCGGAGATTTGTCCCTTCATAAGAAGGAGTTGACCGGTCCAGAAAGAACGACCCAGACCAGTCTCAGTGGGTAGGGCGAGGTGCGTCTCTGCAAGGCTAGATTCTAGATGAGGGGAATGGGCGGCAAACGCTAAACTGTAAATCTAAACTATGCTGAGGAGGATGGACATGGGGCTTTGTGGGGTGGAACGCGCGAGCACAGGGAAGGCACCGTTGGACGGAATCAGGGAAGCATGCCATATGCTCACGGCTTCTACTAGGAGTTCCTGGCTCTCTTGGCACCGACATGAGCAACCCTCGAATGGGACGGAGGGTTCATGAAGGAAGAAGGAGCAAATCGTCGGAAGAGCTTGCTTGTCTAGGGGAAAGGGAACACTCTGCTCGACTTCGAGAGTTCGAAGAGGAAAGTGCCCAGGCAGGAGGAGACTGCTCGAAGGGGACGCTAGAGTTTGAGAAAGGAAGCCAGATCATGAGTCCGAAGACTCGCTAAATTCATGCTCTCTGTCGCAAATGTCGCAAATAGCTGCTGACGGACAAAGTCTCGCACTTCCCTGGAGGCTTTGCTTATGGTTCATAATCCAGAGCGACAATTGTCCGTGCGCCAAATCGCAGAACATCTCGGCTTCGTCTTCAATTGCGAGCACCAGCAGAACTACTACGGGATGACAGTGGTGAATTTGATCAGCGAATTCCTGAACGAGCGCATGGCAACGCGCCAGAAGCTCCTCCAAGCCTCCTCTTTCTTGCCTACTCACAGAACCGGCGTGCAGGGATGCGAGTTACCGGGGGGCATTCTCAAGTTTGCAGTGGCTGCGTTCTAGACCCCACGAAACCGTGTGCTAAGTCGAGTGCTGGCTGATTTGATGCCCTGACCATCACATGTCAATGTGATGACTTAAGTTTATGGGTGCCGAGCGTTTGCGCCAGTCTGGGCACTCAATGTCGGAAGTGTTCGACTTGGACCTACCGGTACATAAGCGCCGCAGCACTGCAGCACATCCCGTTGAAGAGGCCAAACAAATGTTGGAGTTGGCAGCTGTTCGTTGTGTGGAGTACGGTACTTGTCCAGGTCAATCACAGCCACTCTGGACTGGACAGTCGATAAACCTTAAAACACCGGCAAAGAAAAATTGCCCAAACTTTTGAATTCATCCGCCTGCACCAGCTATGAGGCATCCTCAGCTCCCAGTCCCACTGGGCTCGAAGCTGCTGGCAGCTTCGAGCCGCTGCCGCGGCCGTTGCTGAGCGGCAGGTCGTAGAATGCGCGGCTGGCCGTTTTGAGCTTGACGCATTTGTGTACTGAGCGCTTGGCTGTCTAAGGCTTTGGACATGGATACAATTGTACTGAATTCTGCGTTGAGCAGCACGGAAGAGGTGTCGCACTGGGCAGCAGGCCTCTCCCTTCTCACTACTACCTTACGTCACGAGCTTCGAACGGACTTGCCCTTATCTGTCTTAGCATGTCCATGTACAGCAGAAGTTGCAGGTAGTTGATTATTTTGGAGTCAGGATTGTTGGTGGTGCCTGCTGAGGATGCCATCAGTTTCAATGCTGTGCTCGCTGCTGCGAGCAAGCAAGGGGTTTGGTGGCATGGACTGCGTCTCGTTGCATTGTCCGCGGGACTCCCGGGGACGTTTTGTTTTCATTCCAGCTAGTCCCACACCCAGTCGAGGTGACCGTGTTTTACTAAGCTTCATCGGGGTGCTCAGGAACACAAATTCTAGAGTTTCGAGAGCCCTGGCGCTTCCGGCTAAGCTCTTGAAAAATTACTAGTGGTTTTTTTTCAGGAGTCTAGTCAGAGCCGTTTGGGCGACAGTGCTGGGAATGACTTTCTAGGTTTTGACAGACTCCGCAGCTTCGCAGAGATATTCTGCAAGCTGCTTTCCACCTTTTTGTTGCTTCCTGCATTTTCGTTTCCGACATCGTTTCCACCCTTCCAAACACTTAATGATCCTTCCTGAATCTTTTGTGGGGTGGGGGGAGGGAAGCGGGCACGGGGCAAGGGGACAAGCGAATGAGAAGCAGCCTTCAGCCTTCATGCTTTATCCTCAGTCCAAGCCTGACGGAATGGCGTACGCATCCTAGGCAGTACTTGGAGTGGCTGCATCAGCACCTCAGCTCAAATATTATGTGTTTTGCTGATGGCAAGCGTTGCTGTGAGCTGACGCTCCGCATGGACCATGTGGGCGTGCCGAGGCTTGGTGAGCCCACCTTGGTCTCGTACAACTCCCTCCTAGTGTATGCATCTCGGAGACATTGTTTGGTGGGCTTGTCTTTGTGAATGGAGGGCTTCGATTCCTCCACAAAAGCAGCTCCCGTCTCCATCTCAGGCAGACGGAGATGGAAGGCGGTGGGAGACTGCTGTACAGCACCGCCCCCATCTTCGTTGACTTTTTCCTGCTCCAGTCACTCCGGTCGGCTTAGGATTCTTGATGACATGACCGCAGACTGTCTGGCACCCTGAAGAATCATGATGTGACTCTGGGTATTGCACGATTTTTGCGGAGTCCTTGGAGCCTTTTCTGCGAGGTTGTTCAGGGAAAGCTCGAGAGTTCCTCCCGGATGTCGTGACTGTCAGCTCCGTCGGGAACATGTTGCAGGTCTGGTGCCGACTGTGTGGAGATTTGGAGGTGCTCCCTTCTCCCTCCTGCAACTGCACATTGCAGGCATTCGCGCAGTGGGAACAAGCCATGCTCCTTGCAAATCAGCCACATGAAGGCCAGGTTCTTCAACAGCGAAGCCTGAGCCAGCATGACTGACCTTTGACAAACCACCAGATCCGGATCCAGCCACTGCCGATGTGCTTGAAGGCTCAGATGGAGCAACGCTTCCCACAGCTACGAGGAGCCACGTGCTGCAGCATCTCCACACCATTTCCTACACGCCTTGTTCGTTGCAGTGCGCCTGTGCTGGGAAATGTGATGGCAGCCGCGGAGCGAGCCGGGTGCCCTCGGCTGGTCCTATCTTTGGGCAATCTTGGCAGTAAAGGTCCTACACTTTGTTAGCTGTTAGCAACGCTTGGCATCGGGAATCCGGGTTGCACTGTTGTCTGCAATGCAAGCTCCCAGAAGGTTGCATGGTGCATGCAGACTATGTCCGATCGAGCGAATCCTGAGTGGTTGAATCTGGCTGCATTGGCTACCATCGACCCCCCTCAAAAAACACCCTGCCCCCCCTGAAACTCCCCCNNCCCCCCCCCCCCCCCCCCACTCCACCCTCCCCTCTCCTACTTAACCCCCCCCCCCGTGCCTGTTCGAGTCCTTTTGCTCCCTTGTCATTCTTCTCTTCCGTCAGGAGCCCTCCCCTTCCTGCACTTCCAACTTGCCCCCCCCGTTCCCCTGTCATTCTTCCCTGCCTTGAGGAGCATTCCCTTTACTTCCAACTTGGCCCCGAGGTTAGGATATGAGAGAGTGGCCACAAGCCACTACAAGTGTTCCCCCTATTACCAGTACCGTTCTGACATTTTCACCAGCCTGCTGGGGTGAGGTCTTACTGTGTGCATAGAATGAAAACCTACACTCTATTTGTTTGTTCGGAATTTCGCGAAGCAGGAAGAGAAGGAATTGCTTGCAATACTTGCAAGGCCAGGCACTATCCAAGGAAAAGGTACCTGCCTGCCCTCTGGTGAGACAGACGCTTTGCCCGGAGTCATAGCCTTCGTTGCAAATGCCGATTGCCTTGCTGCTCCTGAACATGTTGAAAGTTGAGCCCAGCCAGGTCAACACCATGGCTGCAACTTCACAGGAACCACCTTAGACCACCGTCAGACTCCTGAGGCCCAGAAAAGGCTCTTGGTTAGCGAAGACTGGGATTCCGCAAAGGCTTCCGATGCCGAACATCCTTGCTGTGAGAAGTACTTTACGCTGTTGTTTTTCTTTGCGACTGGGCAGGCCACCTTTAGGCTTCTTGGGTATGTATGTATGTATGCATGCCTGCATGTATGCAAGTATTCATGTGTGCATGTGTGCAGGTGCATGTATGTATGTCTAAATAAATAAAAACCTGTGTATATATATATATGTATTATTTATATATTTATATATATATATGTATATGAGAGTTGTTCTAAACCCCCGGCTCTTTACCGTAGACTAACAGCGCACTTCAATCTTTGGATTCAGGTTTGGGACCTAGTAACAACGCGACGCCGCACAAGGGCGAGCGCAAGTTCAGCGCAAGGGGGAACTACTACCTACTACTAGTATCACAACTACTAGCAGGAGTCCTAGTATCATTACCAGTACTACTACCTGTATTAAGCACAGATCCGAAAACAGTCAAACCAGTTTTACACAGGGTTCAGCGCGCAAGGGCGGCTCAAGGGGAACCCTCCAAGTTCGACCAATGCCCCATTCCTCTTGCGTGACAGTTGTTTGAAAACCCACCCAAGTTCCCTGCACGAAATCTTCAAACCGGATTCTGGACTTGCTATTTTCCGACTGGTCTATCAAGGCTACAAGGTGGGAATGTGCTTAAAACCCTGTACCCGCAAGAGCGCGCAAGGGCGAAGCGCAAGGCGATTTTCGATTTACAGGCTGCAACCATAATAAAAAAACAACCCTCATATACATATACACAGACACACATGTCTTTACCTTACCACAATGCTTCCTTGGCATTGTTTGATGCCATGGTCCTCGCTTCCCCAAGTTGAGCGCTGTTGAGCAGACACAAGTTTCGACTTGCTGACCGCAGCGGCAGTGTCGAGCCAGCTGCTCGTGGCGATTCAAACCCTTGGCTCCTTACTAGTTGAGTTCGCAGCCTTTGACTTTCTTGGGGGTGGCATAATCTCTATTTGACCCCTATATACCCTCATATAATACAACCCTACCCCTATAAATCTCTACATCTTCCCAGACGGTTGACCTTTTGCTCCCAAGCAAGGCTCTAAACCCCTGCTCCATTCAGCTGCTCTCCGTTGGGTGGCGGCAGCCTGTGCTTCAACTCTTGGAGCTGACGAAGCTTCCAACGTTTGACTTGGATCCTGAGCTGCGGAGTTTTGGTTTGGGGTTTCGGGTTTAGGGTTTGGACAACCTTCATTTTTTGTTGTGGGGTTTGTCCTGCCCTAGCATGATTGAAAGGTTAAGCTTCTGGGGGTGAGGGAACTCAGCAAATAAGGATTTCGTCCGTATCACATGCATCTCTATGGAACGGATAGCCCCGTGCTGACGTTTGCGAGCCGACTGCTTGCTTGCCCTTTGGCTTGTGCCTGCCTTCTTTTCAGCTGGTGTTTGTCAAAGATGCTGGGACGCCCGAAACCTTGGACACAGTGCTCGTGGCCCGTTGATCTTCGCCTTCTACCTGTCGATCGCACTCGCAACAATGGTTCCCTGGTAGAAGGGTGCGTAGCCTTTAGCCGTGTTTGTTTTTTTGGGGGAGACTATAATCACCCAATGTAGTCGAGGGTTAAGCTTCTTGGGGAATTACACTCCTCATGTGGCTAGCTCTCTAAATTAGAGGTCTCTTTTGGGGTCCTTTTCAAAAGGGTGCCGCACTCTGTTGAGGACCTGATGAGGGACCCCAATGTAGAGAACCCCGGATTCATGTGGCTGTTAACTTAGGTTAACCTTAGCAAACAGAGCAAGTGAGGTTCCCTTTCAGTCTGCTCCACATCCAGATGAGACGGCCTCGAGGGTCTCCGATCCGGGCATTGTTTGTTGCCTTTCTGAGTGTGACAGGCCGCTTAGGTGAGCTGTGGAGAGCTACACAACGGTTTAGGGTTCGTATGTATGTATGTGTATGTGTATATATATATATATGAGCCCGATACCTTTAGGTTCTATTTGGCTAGCTTTTTATATGCACAATACAAAACACTTAGCTAAATGATACCTAGCCGTATCATGAATTCCACAAACCGAAGCTCGGAAAGTTTCATCCCGATTCGGACATATAACTAAATGCATAATTTGTCAAACGTAATCACATTGTTAGCCCTATGTTTAAGTTTGATATAGGTCGTCATTGTGTTACTTCTACTACTACTACTACGACGACGACGACGACTACTACTACTACTACGACGACGACGACTACTGGTACCGTCAGGGCTACTGATACAGCGTGAGGGTTTGGTACAGATGACATGATGATAGAGATGCTCACTTCACAGATCTTGTTGAAGTAACGGTTGGTTGATATGTCACAACAGTCAGGTGTGCAGTAACCCTTGCCATCCCTTGCAGCCAAGCTCGGACCACTCGTTTTCTCGGAAGAGAATCTCGTCTAGTTGTCTGTGCAGTCGGGACTGGCTTAATCCTCAGGTTCGCTAGACCACTATCACTTTAGCTAGTACGGCAGCTAGTCCTATGTTTATGGCTGCTTGTGAGTCCGAAAAGACCGCAGGTGGCTCCTGAGCTGAATCAAAGACACAACGCCAACAGCTTCTTCGGCGCCCTCGGTGATCGCAACAAGGCAGAACTCATGACTGCTGACGGGTGAATGCTTTTGATGGGGAAGCCATCGACGAGGACAACACATCCCGACAGGGACCTCCGGGCCCAGTTCGAATCGACGTAGGCTTCGACCCTTCCAGAACACTCTTCTGCTCCCATTAACTGCTTCACATGGTCAACCGACATCAAGTATCGAAGGAAGGCACGCAGACAAGTCTCATGCACGACCAACGGAGTAGACTGTCCTCGACTCAACACGCTAATGAAGTAAGTCAGATCAATTCTA